TCGGGTGCCCCTGGGGACCCTTGGGGACACTTTGGGGACATTTGGGGACAGCTGGGGACACCTGGGGACACCTGGGGACACTTTGGGGACACCTGGGGACACCTGGGGACATTTGGGGACACCTGGGGACGTGTCCCCTCGCAGGGTCTGGAGGTGCCGCTGGTGGCCGTGGTTCGGTGGTCGACGCCCAAGCTGCCGTTCACCAACAGCATCGTCACCCACTACAGGTGAGTGTCACCTCGATGTCACCTGGGTCACCTGTGTCACCTCAGTGTCACCTGGTGTCACCTCAGTGTCACCTCAATGTCACCTGTGTCACCTCAGTGTCACCTGGTGTCACCTCAGTGTCACCTCAGTGTCCCCAAGCCCTCCAGAACCTCCTGGCTTCTCCTCCATGTGCCACCACATCCCCAGAACCTTCTGGAACTTCTCCAGAGGTGTCCCCTCGATGTCCCCAAGATGCCACCTTGATGTCCCTGATGTCCCCATGATGTCCCCAAGCCCTCCAGAACCTTCTGGATCTCCATCCAAGCTGTCCCCACGATGTCCCATCAATGTCCCATCAATGTCCTGGTGCCACCACATCCCCAGAACCTTCTGGATCTCCTCCAGAGCTCCTCCAGAGGTGTCCCCACGATGTCCCCATGATGTCCCCAAGCTCTCTAGAACCTTCTGGCTTCTCCTCCATGTGCCACCACCTCCTCAGAACCTTCTGGAACTTCTCCAGAGCTGTCCCCATCAATGTCCCATCAACGTCCCGGTGCCACCACATCCCCAGAACCTTCTGGATCTCCTCCAGAGCTCCTCCAGAGGTGTCCCCACGATGTCCCCCCGATGTCCCCGATGTCCCCTCAGGTTGCCCAGCATCCGTCTGGAGCGGCCGCGCTTCGTGATGACGGCCACCTGCGAGTCCCCCGTGGTGGCCCTGCAGCGTTTCAGTGTCACCTACACCCTGCTCAACGACCTGCAGGACTTCCTGGCCGTCAGGCTGGTCTGGACACCCGAGGCCACCGCTGGTGGGGACATTGGGGACACCTGAGGGGTTTGGGGACATTGGGGACATCGGGGACATTGGGGACATTGGGGACATTGGGGACATTGGGGACATTGGGG